AACGTAAAGCTTCTTAGGATAGAAATCAAAAGGCAAATATTTTTCAGTTCTTTGAGGTCATCACATCCTTCTTTCTCTACTTGCTCTTTTTTTTTTTTTTTTTTTTTTTTTTTTTTTTTTTTTTTTTTTTATTTTGCTACTAATCTAATTGGGAGAAAATTAATTAGAAGTAAAGAATCATCATATTCATGCTATAAACGATTTAAGAGGATTTGAATATTGAACGAACTTATGCTCCTTGTTTGAATCTCTTGGTTCTGTGGACTTGTAACAGAGCTTAACTTTGATTTTGCTCTCTTTCCAGTACTGAAATTAAAGTTGGTTTCCTTTTGTTCCCAGGTACATAAACCGTTGTACTTCCCAATGGCAATTTGTTATACGCTATATACGAGGATAACATATTTGTAGGCTGCAGTGGAACATCTAAACTATGTCCGGTTATATTGGATTTTACATGGTTGTGCGATTTTCTATCACGAGATGTACACAAAACGCTTTTTAACCATCTATCATATTTACCCCTCCCTCCCTCTCTAGGGTTGGAAAATCGTACTATCGTGTTGTGTTTTACTCTCGTATTTATTTTCTCGTTATCTATTTTATTTCATCATTAATACGATAATAAATCAAATTTTAACTCGTTCTTGCACTCTCGTATTTTCATGTTATCCAATTTATGCGATCACTAATACGATAATTAATCAACTTTTAACTAATTCGTTTACTTTGTGTCTCTCTTGTAGATTACCGGGTCATGCACATTGTGTTATTTGCCACTGTAATTGTTCTCTAACCATGTGTTCGGGTCATGCACATTGTATCGTTTGCCTTTGTACTCGTGTTTTCTAATTTTGTTTTCTAATCATGTTGTGTTCATGTTTTGCAGTGCCTCTTTCCTTTTCGCACATATACCCACAAATTATCGAACAAAATAATAAATAAATATAGGAAATATAGTGTTATTGGATATGAATTTGATTAGAAAAAACCAATCATTTTAACTCAATTATTTTTTTTTTAATAGTAATTTTAACCCAATCCACTATCTTCAGTATCATCAATATCATTTAATAATACCAATCAATAATACTCACATATCCAATCAAATTTAATTCACTAGTTATCGACTCACATAATTTTATTAGAATCACATTTGTCCTACTTTTCCATTAAATCAACTTTAACTATTTTATTTTAAATATTATTTCAATATAAATTCAAAATCTCATTAACAACTAACCACACCAAATTTTTCAAAATTAGCTATAGTTAACAAAATTCAATCAAAACAAAATCAAATCCATATCCAATCTAAACCCTGGTAGTGTTGAATCATTGTTGATCCAATAATGTTGTAGAAGAACCAAACTGAATGTCATCAGTCAAAATCTAAAAATTCCCAGCAACAATTTATACCAAAGGTTTCAATATGATAGCAAATGGGGCATATGATAAACGATTACAACAGCAATTAAATTTCACTTTAAAAGCTTTTCTGGTCAAGGAAGTTCCGAAGGTTTAATTACATTCATCGGCCAATGAACTTCCTATGCTAGAACTGTGGTAAATGCGAACACGAACAAGGCCTGGATGAGTAACCAACTTAATTTTGATAGCACGTCATGCTATGAGGGGTACGTAATATTTGGAACATCATAAGACAGACGTATCCAGTTGAGTTCGAGCATGCCGTCTTAATTTAGTACTGAGTTTCTAAAATTCCATCAATGAGACCAAAATCCATGGCCTGTAACGAGGAAGAGAAGACCTTGTCAATATTCCAGTCTTGAGAAAAAAATGAATAAACGAAATACTGAAACCAGGAAAGGTAAACTCTGAGATATATGTATACAGTATACAGCATCCAGCAAACATAATTGAGAAATTTGTAAATTTTAAGTTTTTGTCCCAATAATCTCCACACTTTTCTTTTACATTTAACAGTTTCCAGAACATTGACAACTACTTAGAAGGTTAAATCAGAACATTGAAATCGCGGTATCTTGATAATAGGGATGATTTTTATTTTTATTTTGATGTAAAAGAATCTGCAAAAACATCACCTCTCCCGCAGAAAAGAACATGTCTCTATTTGTGTAGAATCTTACTAACTCCACAGGTTGACCAGTTAAGGCAGAATACATTTTATCGAGTTTCTGCATCCAATAACGATTAGAACAAAGTTTGAGTTCCAAATCGAGATAACAATGAAATACTGCCATCACTTTCAGTCGATGCTCAGACAAGTGCCACAGGTGCATCGCTAAAAACTGGCATTTCAAAAGTTTGGTAATAGTGTTGAGCACACCATCATAAAACAAATACGAGTTTGATTTTTTTTTTCTTTATATTTTTTCAATTGCCACAAATTTCAACCGAGGATAATAGATTTTCATGGCAGTTATACAGAAGGTGGCAGTAAAGTAATGTCAGAAAAAAACACAAAGGGGCACTAACATTACGAAATTGAAGTACTTCATTTACTTGGGGCATTACATCATCGACATTACCCTGCATGCAAAGTAAGCACTTCAGTCCATAAAACGAACTACAGAAAATCGTATAGGTTAGAAATATCTGTCTCTCGTGTACAATTAAATAAGTTTCATAACTAAATCACTTATGTAGGGTTGGCAATTCTCTCATCTGCCAATATCGCAGCAAATCGGAAGACCTAAAGTCTGGAGAATTTACAGGATGCACATGTATGGACAATTAAAAATGTTCTCACAATTATTGATGGTATTTTTGGATAACATCATCGAAAAGAATTATGGATAAATAATGAATATGGTCATTCATAAAACAAGAATATTCTTCTAAAGTTTCTCACTTTATTATACTGTTTAAAAAGCAACTGCTCGAACTATGTTCACTTACACATGCAAAAAGAAAGAGATGAAAATATAATGTTATCTTCCACATTATTTACTATCCATAACTATTGGTTAAAGCTGCAAAAGTAGCTGAAGTACACAAAAAGGTGCTACCTCCCTTTTCTAGCATAAAAGAACAAACACCAGATTTTAGTAGTTCTTAACCATGAGCTGGTAACTCAAATGGTACTGCTCATCCTTTGTAACGGTGTTGTACTCATACCTCTCAGTTTCTTAAGTGTATATATATAGGCATTTAGCGACTAAAAAAGAAAAAGAAAAAAGACTTATTTTAAATTGCAGTAGTTCTTACCCCAGCCGAACATTGGGGTTGATGGATCATAATACGAGCATTTGGCATGGCATACCGCATACCTTTTTCTCCGCCAGCAAGAATAAGTGAAGCTTGGCTAGCTACCATTCCAAAACATACGGTACCAACCTTGGGCTTTATCTGAAGCAAAGATTTATTGCAACGAAACAGAAGTAGGAACACTTCAACTTCAAGCCAAAAAAAGATGATCCTAAAAGTTATGCAGGGTTGCCAATACTTGCTGCATTCGAGAACAAGAATTTAATCGCAAGAGATCAAACAAGAAGGAAATAACAATCTTACCCATGACATGCAGTCAAATATCGCCATGATAGAATAGATACTCCCGCCTGGACAATTAAGGTACATCTAACAAGCAAGCCAGCAATCAGCGTAAACAATTAGTCTCAGCAAGGTCTTAACTTTCTAGTACTTCAACATGTTACTAGGAGCTTAAAGAGGACAAACCAAAATATCTGAATCTTCATCAATTGTCGCCAAAGTTACTAGTTGTGATATGACTCTCTGAGCTACCTCTGAATTAATAAACTGACCGATGAAGATTATACGATTTCTGAACAAAACTGCGGAAAGATCCAAAGGTCCAGCAGGAGTCATCACTGCTGGCATGATTGGTGGATTACTCTTTCTGGCTTCTATGACACCATTGCTGATGAATGAAAGGTATTGGTAAATTCTAAGATAAGTCAAACAACTCCACAATCCAAATCACAGATAATAAGTTTGATCCACATTTATTGCCAGAAAGCAGACGACAGTTGAAAATCATTCTGGCGTTCAAGAAAATTTCCCTACATGTGCAAGGTTCACATTTATGTGTTGAAATGATAGTAATTTGCAGTTTACACCAATGCATAATTTTGTTCTTTAAAATTGAAAAGGGTACATACCAAGTTACCAACGAGGAAATTTACACACCAAACTTGCAATATGGGACAGTTAAATTAGTTAAGAACACAAACATGAAATCGCCAGAAAAGTTTCAAACCTATCAAATCCTACCCGAACACCACTGAGACTGTAAACTATAGCTGTTCCGGTCTACAGAAAACTTTGAAAAATCATTTATTGGAAATCTATTGATGTAGAGAATAAAGGCTAGCTCGTGTCCAAAAGCACAAACTTCTTAATCATAAAAGCATAGAAAACCCGATAGATATCAACATTTAGAGCGGGCAACTCACTTCAAGATACGCTGTACATCATCCATTCATTTCCAAACAGTTTACATCATTTCTTTGATTCTACAATAGGCCTCGGCGCCCGTACACATGCAATTACGAATATAAAAAGGTTGAAGTTCAAGCACAACATAAAGTATAAAATAAGGGTCTTAAGTCAGTCATATGCATAAACAGTTCTTGCAGCAACTTATTTCATCTAACCTATCAAGCATGTACTGAACTCTTCCAGGTAAGTTTACACAATCCATTTCAAGTTGTTCAAAGTCACATTCATTACTCATCTACAATATCCCAGTTCTTGTAGAACTAACCTCGTATTCGAACAGAGATCATTCTGGTCAAGCTTTAGCGGCGACCTGCTTGTTTTACTAGAAAACCCTGGAAATACAACACAATGGGTCGAGAATTCATCACACCCAGACATAATTAACTAGGGAAAAAAAATTGCAAACAAGCAATCCAAACAACAATGCCTAATCGACAATATCCAACAATAAAAAAGGGCACACAAGCTTCGTACAAATCTGTAACTCACTGCTGAAGATTTTCGAATAACTATTATCCATTCACTATATTTATGAAATAAATACCTAGTGGATAAGAATCTCCATAGGAGCCCGACAGAGATGAAACCACAGGTTTCGAAGATAAATTTCTGCCCAGGGGAACATAAAATCATTAAGGTGAAGAAAACAAAACCACGCGTCAGTAAGTATAAAATGCTTGAATCTTATTCACAAGCAGGATTGTAGTACCTCTCAGGAAAGAGGCTGAAGGACGAAACTCGGTAACGAGGTGAAAAGATTGGCAGATTCAGCGGAGCTGCCATTGCTGACGTCACAATCCTGCGAGGTAGTGAGCGGATAGAGCGCCTGCCCGGAGAGAAGTGAAGACGCGATTCGATTTGGGGGTTTAGAATCGACCCGTTTTGTGACCCCAAATTTGAGAGAGTATCGGCGTGTCCACTATTATATCCAGCCCAATTATTGTGCGGCCCAATTGGAAGGCCCATCAAATTATTTTAATACCCTCTTGGTTGTTCGTTAGCTGCTCGGGAGTCGGGAGCACGACTCGTTTGATACATGAATGAATCGAATTCGAAATCGTTTTAGTTAATGAATCAAGCCACTCACAACTTTGTTAAGTCTAGAGAATAAAATTTTCATGTAATTTTCTAAATTTTTACCTTAATTCTGGTAGTTAAGATTCAATTTTGGCTCGTTAAAATTGATAAACGAGTTAGACTCGAGCTCGTTAATCGACATACTTAATTAACGAGCTCGGCTCGACAGAAGATGAAACCAAAGCTCGACGATCCCGACTTGCTAAAGCTTTATAATAGAAGTTTTTATGGGTTGGATCGAATATAAGAAAAATATTATCTCACCCATAAAAAAAATATTATCTCACTCATTTTTTTTTTTATTTTTTTTATGGGTTGGATGGAATATAAAAAAAATATTATCTCACCCTTAAAAAAATATTATCTCACTCAATTTTTTTTTTTTTTTT